GGGCGGCCAGGCGGGGCCCCTTCCCGGCGGGCCCCCACCCTCCAGGCCGCGACCAGCCTCACCTTGTCCGGCGTCTCTTTGGCCACGCCGCAGCGGACCCAGGCCACGCACGTCACCTGGCGGCTGCGGTTCATGGTCCCCGGCTCCAAGGGCTCGCGGGCGGAAGACGCAGGAGACGTGCAGTCGCGCGTCTGACGTCACTGGCGCGCGCCGCGGGAAGGGGCGGGGGTCGGGCCGTGCGTCCTCGGGAGGTGCCGCGGGTGTCCGGAGGCGAGGGGGACGTTTGGACCCGTCACCGGCAAAATGCCGTCAGGCTTTCTGTAGCATTTTGCTTCCGGTTCCAGGGGCTTCGAGTGGGCTGGGTGTGTAGGTTTATCCCCGAGCAGATTGTGCCGTTACGCTCCTTCCCTTTTTCTCCTGCGGCGCTCGCTCGGGTAGCGGGGCCTCGGCCGAGCCGCAGCCACCCGCGCGAGCTGCTGAGCGCCGCGCTCTCCCCGGGCACGTCCGTGCCTGCTGTGGACTCTGCGGCCGCGTGGAAGCGTCGGGGATCGCGGCGTGCGTGTTAGGTTGGCACGCGCTGCTTCAATGGCCTTACGTCAGTCCTGTGTGTACGCTGGCGATGCAGCGCGTTAGGCAGGTGCCCTGCGGCCGAGCGACAGCCCCAGCCCCTGGTATTTTATTGACACGGGGACCCTGAGTTGCCCAGGCTGCACTCAGACCTCGGTCATACTGCTTCAGCCTCCCAAGTAGCGGGGACTGTAGGCGTGCATCGTGCCTCGCCTCCATAATTTGTTATGGTAAAATATACATAACAAAATTTACCATCTTAACTATTTTACATGTATAGTTTAGTGAAAGTATCAAATCGTTGAGTTTTGAGGTTGTTTGTTAAGGCAGCAGTAGTAACGGGCAGGCGGAGACCTGCTATATGCTTAGAATAGGGCGCATGAGCTGACTTATTGGCAGAGGCTGGTTTATACGCCCGAGTGGGCTTGGGTGGGCGGCCCCGGGGGTACACAGGAGCGTGCTTGTGTTCATCTGACATTAGGTGCTGCCCTCTTAGGAGCCCGCAGCTGCTCCATCGCCAGTTCCCGGTCTGCTTGGACCTGGCACGGTCTTGTGCTGAGTGAGCTTGATAAGTATTTGTTAAATGAAACAGTCAGTTAAGGAATAGAAAGTGGGCTGGCACTCTGGTTATTTGCGGCCTCCAAATCTTCTCTCTTTTACTGGACTTATTTCTGCCATTCCGCCTCTTTACCCTAAATTAGGAGTTTCCTTAAAAATGAAACTCCAACTGCAGCTGACTTTATCAGTTCTTCATAACAAGACCCGACAGAGAGTGAACCTAAGTAGCTCTGTTTGTAAGCCTGATTTTTGGGAACTGATGAACTTACTTAACTCTAAAAAGTCTCTTTGCCAGAGGCCAGAAAAATGTATTTGGTGGCCCACTGGTTATTCTTTTTTTTGAGACAAGGTCTCACTGTGTAATTCAGGCTGGCCTCGAACTCACAGCAGTCCTCCTGCCTCAGCCTTTTGAATACTGGGATTACAAGTGTGTACCACCACACCTGGCCCCACTGGTTATTCTTAAAGGTCCTAGAGGATTGAACCTGGGCCCATGCCAGGCTGTTTTTAAAGCCTTACTTCAGTGGCTCCTCTAATTAAGCTGGTAAACGTTAGTAATTGGCCTTGATTGCTGGGAAGCAAATGAAGTATATAGCAGCATCCTTCCCCTTCCTGCTAGGCTCAGTTTCCTGCCCCTCCTGTAGCTAACCCACAATATTAGCTGATAAGGAGTTGAAGAAGCAGTAATAGCTAGCAGTTGCCAAGTGCCAGAGACTCGTACTGTGAAAGATTTTACAGTACCCACTGTGTACAAAACAAAACTGTATTTTCTTGGAACTGAACTTAATTTCCACTGAAATGAGGTCAAGAAGCATGAGGATCTTGTTACCCAGCACCGGCGATGCCTAGCAGACACGTGCCCATAAATATCTGCTAGACGAATGCTACGAGAGTTCCAGACTGAAGTTCAAGAACACAGGAAACACATCTAGTGGCATATAGTTAGCAACAGCAAGATGCTGTCTGACTCCTAGTGTAGGATCCTTTCTATATGCCACACAAGTTTTCTGAATAGAGTTAACCCAGTTCTAATTGCCTGAGGCAAGAAATGGAACTTACGCTAGAATGACTCAGGAATCTGGTTACACAAATGGCTTCTGACATGCTGGGATCTGGAGGCTTGTCTCACGGCCGGCAGGACTTGACCTCTCTACATGTTTCCTTGGTCTGTCAATATGTGGGCTTCCTTTCAAACCTCCAGCAGCTTCAGGCTCGAAGTACCCGTACCACCAGCTGCCCTGGCAGGAAAGCACTAGTATTTCCCTCTGCTTTTCTCTGCCATTGGGTTGCTAGTGTTGGCTGGCTGCCGGACCAAGTCACGCAGGGGAAGAGGCCATGTCCTGATGGGAGGTTCTGTAAGGGCTTCATGGCCGTGTTCAGTCAACCACAGAGGAAAGGCAGCGATTGACGTAAGACCACTCCTCACCTGCGTGTCAAGATGGGGAGCAGAGCCTGAGCATTCTGACTTGAGACCTGCGTGTTTCCTTCCACACCCGAGCTGCGTCTTCTGGAAGGGGAGGGTCAAACGTGTGCCCAGGGAAGGGAAGCCGTTCCCAAAGCCACAGCGGTGGTGAGCTCAGGCTCGCCCTGCCTCCTCACGCTGCACCTAGGTGGCATTCGCAGATTCCTGGGGGACAGATGGGGACCGAGTTGCTTATAAGAAGCAGAGGAAGAGTGGGTTGGGCAAAGATTCGATGTCTTCCTTCAGGAGGCAGAGGAGAGAGGACTGCGGATAGTCCTGAGCATCATCTCTCATCCCCCGGTGCCTTCACAAACGTCAGTCACCGTGCAGGTCACAGGTCACAGGTCACAGGTCTGTCTTCTGCTCTACACTGTGTCCTCTCTGCTCAGCATTCCAAGCCGGTGGTTCAGGGCAGGTAAGTATTTGTGGAAGAAAGGGAAGCATGACATTCCTGGACGCTGGCTAAGGAGGAATGAGTGGTGTGATGCAGTTATCTGTTGCATGGCTGTGAGATTCACCGCAGGAGCAGAGGAGCTGTTGCTAGACTATAATTACATAAGCACAGTGCTTATTGTTGGACCCACAGGCTTGGCACATGTATACCCATGTCCAGTAAATGTTTATTGAACGAATGGATGGATAAATGAGTGAGTGAAACTCTGCAGACTCTCACTTAACCAGACATTTATGCTTTTCCCTGGAAAAAATTTAGGAACCCCTGAACGCCGGATTACGGCTCCCCCTAGTGGACACTCCGGGTTTATGCCTGGGCCTTGAACATGCTCCTCTCCATTGTTTTGTTCTGTGCCTTCTCTATTTGCTTATTCCGGTTTGTACCGGTTAGGTTCTCTAGAGGAACAGAATCAGTAGAATATGTGTGTATAAAATTCTGCAAGGGGATTTACTAGTAAACTTACAGGGTCGGTGCACCCCGGCGAGCTGGAGGATCCAGCAGCTGTTCGGTTCTGAGAAGCTGGAAGCTCAGAAAGAGAGGGAGCGAGGATGCAGCCCAAGTCCACGGATGAGGCCTGGAAGCTCCACGGAGAGTCCCTGGTGCGAATCCGCGTTGGACGGCTGGAGAAACTGGGGACAGGCCGTGGCAGCAGAAGATGCCCCCCTCAAGCAGAGGGACACTTCCAGATGCTTGCCACCTTCCTCCTTCCCTTTCCTTCCATCCAGGCCGGTGTCGCGGTACCACCCCCAGCCCAGGCTGCGGTCCCCAGGTCAGGCATCTCTGGAGACCCCACAGGCACAGCCAGAATTGTGTTGCTCATCTGCCGAGCATTTCCTAGGCCAGTCCAGTAGGCACCAGGTAACGGTCACCCACCCTGGCATGAACCTCCCAGGGTAGTGGCGAGGTCTTGCAGCTGAGCAGAAGCCAACTGGAGCCCTGACACGGTCGGCTTGGGAAAGGTGTTATCAGCAGACAGATCACCTTCACGGTGCCCGTGACACAGGACACAGCCAGGGTCCTATGGGCGGCAGCCAGCTCACGGTGTGGCCTTGAGCAGCCCACCTGCTGTGTGTGGGCTGTGGTTTCATCACAGGGGAGGCAGAGGCTGAGCTCCCAAGGCAGTGGGGACCACCATGCTCATGTGACAGCTGAGGACACTGGTTTTGGATTAAGTAAGGAGCCCCAGGCCTCACAAACTATCAGGGTCCAAGCCAGGACTTGAACTGTGATCCTCTGGACTCAGTGCCTGTCCTGTTGGCACGTGGCAGCACTCTGGGAGCCTTCAGACGCCCTGCTGTGTATCTACACTACCTAGGGCTGCCTCTCCTTCTGGAGGCTGTGTGTCACAGCAGCTAAGGGTGCTGCCTGGAGCCACGAAGCCTCGGCGTGAACCCTGACTCTGCTTGCACATCCGCTCCTGGGAGGCAAGGCCTTGGCAGTCACTTATTCTCTGCTTCAGATTTTCCATCTGCAAAATGGGTTGACAACAACAAAGCGTTGCCATAAAAGTTTACACACACACACACCGTTTAAATACTACCCAGAATCTCCAGTCTTTGACTGTAAGCAGTTATAGTATGCATTTATATGCCTTAGCTGTTATTTTCCACCTCTGAACTTTTGTTTCTCCCTATGTAGTCACCTCAAAGAACTGAAATTTAGACTTTTAATATAATTTCCAAGCAAGGTCATGTTTGTAGTGACAGACACAGCAACAGGGCTGAAGAAAGGACACGTTTCTGTGAGGATGGGAAAGGTCACCTGCCTGGAGGGCCCTGCGAGTTCATACAGAATTGTTTGTGTATCTCGGTTGTACTGTGAGTGGCATGAGGATATTGTACTCCGTTACTGGGGAAGTAGAAGTGCTCAGTTCTTAATGTGAAAGTGCAACTACTAAAAGCAAATACAAGTTTTCATGGTCTGTCTTCATGTTTAGAGCTACAGCCTCTGAAGTAGACGTGACCTGGGTTTCCCCTGACCTTTGAAAGCTTCAACCTATTCCACAATACCAGGGTTGGAAGAAGCTGGAAGCCAGAAATCCCCCTTGCAGAACACTGTGTAAATAAGACAAGAAATCCCCTTGCGGGACACAGCTGGCCCTGCCTCTGGACAGGGGCCCTCCCTAGCTGGCAGTGTCCGGTGACATTCCTGGGGAGAG